AACCCGGGAGGCGGAGCTTGCAGTGAGCTGAGATCCGGCCACTGCACTCCAGCCTGGGCGACAGAGCGAGACTCCGTCTCAAGAAAACAAAAACAAAAACAAACAAAAAAAATGCTTTGTGGATGTTACACAAGCGGAGGAGAGTGATGAAGAGACCTCCACTCCCATGCCTGCACTGCTTGGCAAGCATTCAAGTTTTTTAAAGTGCAGATGTAGTATTCAACCTACCTGGGAAAATCAAAAATGCTGCAACAGTACAATGAAATGTTCCCCGAAGAACTCTGTAATGAAATAATGAAAACAAAAATTTTTTTTTTCACTTAGTACTTACTTGAATAGTCAAGAAAAGAGGGCCAAGCAAAGCAAAAGTTCTAGGGAAAGAATGTGTTAATAAAACATAATTAAAGTAAATAATTTTACTGCACTTTATTGGCACCTTATTTTTTTTCTTTTAAAACCTGTGTGAGGTTCTTTTGGGCCAACTCAGAGGCATATCACAGAGGACAACCTTGAAGATCAGTTGGCTGTTATTCACTTCAGAGCTTGCTATAAAATTCTAGCAATGTTTCCTCGAGCAGAGTGATATTTTTACTCTGCTAAAGATAAATCTGCAGGTCAACCAGTTACCAGGCAGGGTGGTACTGAAAAGTCAGGTATTTTAAGTTATTCCGGAAATGTGCAATTGTGCTGATTCTTCCATTTTTGCTCATTCATTCAGCCAATGAGCATTTATTTGCTGAGCGCCTAGTAGACAAGACACCTATCCTGGGTTCTAGACAGATTTGAATTAGACACAGTCTCTGACCACAGTGAGGACAGACTAGAGCAGAGAAGCGTGGGCACAGAGAAACATTACAGTCCAGAACGGCCTGCTCTGTTATGGTTCTGTGCCTGCGAACTATGTGAACATATGAGGCAGAGCAGGGGCCTGCCTGTGAGCATCAGGGAGACCAAACAAAAGGTGACTTTTGGCCAGGTGTGGTAGCTTACACCTGTAATTCCAGCACTTTGGGAGGCTGAAGCAGGCAGATCGCTTGAGCCCAGGAGTATGAGACCAGCCTGGGCAACATGGCAAAACTCCAACTCTACAGAAAAAATTAGGTGGGTGTGGTAGCACACGCCTGTAGTTCCAGCTACCTAGGAGGCTGAGATGGGAGGGTCACTTGAGCCTGGGAGGTCAAGGCTGCAGTGAGCTGTGATTGTGCCACTGCACTCCAGCCTGTGTGACAGAGTAAGACCGTGTCTCAAAAACGAACCCTTGGAGCACAATAATCCTAAGAAATAAACAACAACAACAAAAATCAAGAGAACAAAACAAAAAAGTGGTGACTTTTGAAAGGGTGACATTCTAGGGTGTGGTCTGGGGGCGCACTCCAAGAGGGGGCAATATAACATAGACTTTAGGATCCTGGGAGCTGGGATGAAGGGCAGTGTAGGAAAGGTGTATCAGCGCACAAGACTGCTAGATTTTATTCTGAAATGAGGTCCCCACACAGGTTTACAAGTAGAGGAGGAAGGGTCTTTCTACTCTCTATGCCCCATCACTCTCCTTGCTCAGGGATTCATGATGTCTTTCCTGGACCACTGCCACAGCCTCCTGTCTGGTCTCTGCCAGCAGGCTACTTCCCTTCAAATTGCTTCCTATGAGGCCGCTTGGGTGACTGAAGTAGTATCTTCCCCAGGTGTCCAAGGCCATGGACCCAGGCCCTGCCTGATTACAGCTCTATCTGTCACCATGCTTCAGGAAGCACTGCCAGGCTGGGCAAGTGTAACTCCTATCTCTTTCCTTAATACCCTATGTCTTTACACTTAGCTCCACGCATTACAAATAGCTTTGTCCCTGTTTCTCTTCTCTCCGAAACTAAGAGATTCTTTGGCGGGGAGGGTTGGGGTGGGTGGGGGGTGTTATCTTTACCTTTTCAATGTCTTAGGCGGGGTCTGGCACATGATAGATTCTCAGAAAATGCATGTTAATAAAAATAAAACGAACGTAAAAACTTAAGTACAGAAAGGCTTTGACCTCAGCTTTTATATACATGTCTATATCTGTTTAGGTAGCTATCACTTACATTTTTAAGCTCTTGCTCCTGATACTATATAATGTCTAGGATGAATCCGTGTGCTAAATAGGAACCACTGGACACATATATGGTATCCTCATAATACTCATGCTGAGAAAAACTTTTGTGGGGATATGGATACAATTATTTACCCAAACCAGAACAAACCTTAAATACTTTGGCTCCAGGAATTTCGGTGATTGGTTCTTCTGTGTAAGAAAGATTCTGCTCTGTAAAAAATTCTCGTATCCCAAGTTCACTGATTTCCACACCAATTACACTGTGTCCCCGGTTTGCAAACCTGCATAAAATCATACATTTACACTTAAATTATGTTTTCAAATGACTAAATAGAGGGTTATATTGGAGTAAGCTTATATTTTCTTTAATTTAAAGGAATTTATATGAATTCAGGTTCACAGGGTTTCAAAGAACATGCAGGAAAGCAGATCTATATTATTTTCAAACCTTATAAAAATTCTGAAAAACGACTTATATGACCTTAGGAAACAACAAACATTTGGAAAATTATATATATCTCTTATTTTTTAATGTATGGAACAGTTGGAATGTGATTATAGATATGTAACTTAAAATACTGATTTAATAAATTGATTTGACTAGAGGAAATGCTTTTCAATTTCTCTAAATCAGTACTGCCCATTAAAATTTTCTGCAATGATGAAAATGTCTGTATCTGTGCTGTCCAATAACATAGCCATTAACCACGTTGGCTTCTCGTGATTGAGGAACTGAATTTTAAATTTTATTTAGTTTACATTTAAATAGCCACATGTGGCTAGTAGCTACTGTACGGAAGTGAACAGGTCTAGAACATTAGCACTCATTTGTATACTAATCTTGTAGTTTCCATTTGCTTAAAATAAACATTATCCAAAATTTGTATATTTTATTATATACAATAGCATTTTCCTGGTAATTTTATCTGTTTGTTTATTTATTTATTTATTCATTTTTTGAGACGGAGTCTCACGCTGTCACCCAGGCTGGATAGAGTGCAATGACGCAATCTTGGCTCACTGCAACCTCCACCTTCCGGGTTCAAGTGATTCTCCTGCCTCAGCTTCCCGAGTAGCTGGGATTACAGGTGCCTGCCACCATGCCCAGCTAACTTTTTTTTTTTTTGAGACAGAATCTCACTCTGTCAGCCAGGCGGGAGTATAGTGGCACAATTTATCAGCTTGCTGCAACCTCCACCTCCTGGGTTCAAGCAATTCTCCTGCCTCAGCCTCCAGAGTAGCTGGGATTACAGGTGTGCCCCACCACACCTGGCTAATTTTTGTATTTTTAGTAGAGACGGGGTTTCACCATGTTGGCCAGGCTGGTCTCAAACTCCTGACCTCAAGTGATCTGCCTCCCAAAGTGCTGGGATTACAGTCCTGGTAAGTTTTATAATTAACAGAATTCAGTCTCAGGATCTTGGACTCAAGAGAAAACAGTACCGCTGGCACAAATACCTAGGACAATTATGATTTTATGTCAAGTGAAATAAAAACATAGTTCTGCTATAATACAACATGTGCCTTCCTACAATCACTGCACTATGCTAAATCACGCAATAAAAATCACCAGGCTGGTGGGGAAAGTGAGGGCACAGCATTTAAAATCTTTGTCAGTGCCACATTGAAAAACAAAAATAGGAAGCTAATAACAACAGTTTTACACATGTTAAATGGTTGAGACATAGATAAATACTACAATATGGGACTTTACTGTGAAAAAGACCTCATGCTTACTGAGGTAGCTGAGGGATGTTTGTGCATTCCTTCTATTCATACGTGGCTCAGTTCAACTGGGTGCAGTTTTCTGCTTTTACCTAAGGCTTCTTACAGATGAAATCACACACAAGCAAATGTGAAATGTATTTCATGTTCAAATTGTTCCCTAATATATCAACTGAGTTAGAATTCAGTTTTGAAACAAGTATAGCAGGACTGACTGTACCTTTTATCTACAAAAGAGTACATACTTTCAGTGTGGGCAGAGCATGAACCGTTGAGTTGTAAAATGAAACATTAATAAATTGTCTTTCATCTTTCATATTTCCTAGGATATTTGTAAACATACAGGGAGTTTTAAAATTCTCCATACATTTTAAAGTTATAAAATGTAAACAAAAATATTATTCAAATTGGTTGCATGTGTTTTTATTTCTCATTCAACAGATGGAAAAATGAAGCATAGCCTACTACAACCTGTAATAAAAACAAAATAAGACCAAGTGCGGTGGCTTATGCCTGTTATCCCAGCATGTTGGGAGGGAAAATCTCTTGAACCCAGGAGTTCAAGGTTGCAGTGAGCTATGATTATGCCACTGCACTCCACCCTGGGTGACAGAGTGGGACTGTCTCAAAAAACTCAAAACCAAAACCTAAATATCTTAAACATTTTGTTTTAATGCTTTTTGGCCTTAGCTCATGATCAGTTTTTCTATTCACATCTGATGTCTGTATAGACCTCAATACATAGATCAGTTACATAAATGAAAAATCATCTACTACCATAACTTCTTACATGTAATTACAGTAGCTCAGTTCTAATATATATATATAAAACTGTATTTACATATATACACACACACATAGTTTTGGAGATGGAGTCTCATTCTGTCACCTAGGCTGGAGTGCATGGGCTCACTACAACCTCTGCCTCCTGGGTTCAAGCAATTCACCTGCTTCAGCTTCTCAGGTAGTTGGGATTACAAGCAAGCGCCGCCACGCTTGGCTAATTTTTGTATTTTTAGTAGAGACGGGTTTTCACCATGTTGGCCAGGCTGGTCTTGAACTCCTGACCTCAAGTGATCCGCCCACCTTGGCCTCCCAAAGTGCTGGGATTAAAAGTGTGAGCCATCACACCTGACAAGTTCTGATTATTTTTTGTAATTTTTTAAAATGGCTTTAGACCCCAAATATTCAACAATCACATTTAATTGGCTATTTCATACCATTCTCCTAACGTTGCCTCAGAACCTGTTACATTGTTACCATTTATGATGACATTGCATGACAATCTGTTTATAGAGTTAATATTTTTTTGAGGGTAGTTTTGAAAGTAACTATCTCTTCTGGCTCAATGAATTGGTTAAAATACAGGTGTAATAATATAGTTTACATATTCTCAATTTCACACGAATTGAAGATCACACTTGAATCTTAAAGTCATAGCAGCCCTCTAACAAAGGCTCTCAGCTACAGTTGAGTGTGTGCTGGCTGCAAAAATTCTATCATCTCTACTTGAAAATCAACTCCCAAAAAATGCACGCATACTCTGTTAGTCACCGATATTTATATTCAGAATAGACCATTTTTACGTTATTATATTTTACATTTATTAATCTTTTAGTTTTAATTTATTTTTTGAGGCAGCTTCTCACTATGTTGCCCAGACTGGTCTCAAATTCCCAGGCTCAAGAGATCCTTCTGCCTTGGCCTCCCACAGTGCTGGGATTACAGGCGGGAACCACCACACCTGGCACATTTACTAACCTTTTCATACATTCTTTTTTCTTTCCTGCTCAATGATCAAAGTTCTCAACATTCAAGCTTATAAATAAATGCATATCTTGGCAGGTATGATTGTATCTATATATTATCATTAAAACAGAGTTCTGTATAGAGAACGATGTCAAGGTGACTTTAGGGTAACTCACAGTGAAAGTGGCTTGTGAAAGTGAATTCTCTTTGTAGAGAATTACTCACAAGAAATACCTGCTTAATCACAGGTTTTATAACAACCGTTCACGATAACAGAAACTCCTGTGTTCCCTGGTGGGAGGGGAAGGTTGAACTGAACTGTGGACTATGAACATTGTCCTGCCAAAACGCTGTAATTCATTTTGAATTTCTCTGTCCACCACCATTTCAAATATCTAAAAATTAACTTAGCTAAATTCCTAAACCACCTACAAAAACTGAACCACATACACGGATCCAGGAAATGTAAGAGGGAAGGCTGTTTTTTCTCCCCACACTGGCTCCAAACTGATTTTTTGATTTTGAAACTCAATCCAGAAAGACTTCATACCTGTTTCTGTTGTTTCTTACTGTTTGAGAATATTATTTCCAATTATATACCCATCACTAACAGAAACATAAGGAATTCCTGTGTATTTCCCGAAAATGGAGTTTCTAAACTCACATTCTGTTAAATCACCCAAAGAATTCATCATTAAGACAAGATAATTCTGTTAATGTTTATCTGCTCATACCATTTCATCTCAACCGCTTTTCCACAAAGAGGAAAAAATACCCTCAGTCCACTCTTGCCTTTGAGAAAAGTATCTAAATGCTTCTTTAACAGCCTGAGGAGGAAAAAAAAAAAAAAAGTTTTCAGGACAATTGTATCACAGGTGAATACTTTTCATTCATTATCTCACTTAACATTCCCAACAACCTTAATAAGCAGATGCTATTAATTATTATACTCTCCAGCTTACATATGAAGAAACAGGTAACTTGCTCAGACACCCACTCAGTCAGTGGTAAATCTGACTTACACCCAGGGCTCTCCTGATTAGTAATTAAAAATAATTTTTTTTTCTTGGGTATGTTTTGAGAATTCTTTATTAATTCTCTAAATATATACTATTTTGGGGGTGATGGAGCCTCTGGAGCCATGGATTTTTCAACATTCATTTCATGGTAAGTTCTCTAGACGTGGAGTCAAGTCTCAGAAGTAAACCTGAGAAGTGTAACTCTTGTAGTTTCTTGTAATTTCCTCTGTGGAGATGTGGCTCTTCTAAGGTCATCCACACGACAGAAATAAGCCAATGTTTCTGGGATGATGATGATGATGATGTCATCTCCTGGGGAGATGGGCGTGGCTGCCCAGAACAAGCAATGTCTATAACGACCACTTTACTCAGCACTGGTCCCATGATTTATTTCTGCTATGAAGACTACTACTACATTGCACAACATCCTAGCTCACTTTTTAATTTCTTGCAACTTCTCTTCTCCCACCGTAGAGATAATTCTTCAGTATCTGAACACATCCTATTGGAAAGCAAAGTCAGACACTGCTGGTTTTCAGTATAAAGAACTGTAAGCATAAACATTGCCTGAGTACCTGTTGCAGGTATAAATATTCATGACTAATACACAGATGCTGTAGGGATCAAAGAACATATTTTAAAAATCTAAGATGTCATCATTGGTAAGTCACACCATTATTTACACACTGTGGGAAGAAAAGACACTGCCAATTAAACTACATCATGCCATAGATGCACTGTGATTCAGGAGACACAAAAATGTGAAGAATTAAATGTGCATCTGAAAAATTAGTCAAATAATGTGTACTTATATGATTATTTCTATCTCAAAGTCAGTTTCTGATAGAACATTTCTCTATTATATACTCAATATTTCTTACTGATGTCCTTGTTCCAGATGAAAAGCAGTTTTGCCGTTCACCCACTTGTCTTGCCATTCTTCCAGAGTTAGTACTTGGTTTTTCTGTACCTCAGTATCGGAGTACTCTTCGATGTCAAGTGAAGTTCTTGAACCATCCATAGTTTCATAGACACCTTTGTCTCACAAGCATATGTCTTCCCTGCCTAAGTGGAAAATATTTGCAATGTTGTCATTTAAGGTCATTGGAATTCTATTGATGAGCTAAATGAAAACCTATTATTCTTAGCAGTATGACTTTTAAAAAAAATATTTCTTTCTTTTTTTATTTTTGTTTTTACTTTTGAGACAGAGTCTCGCTGTGTCTCCCAGCCTGGGGTACAGTGGTGTGATCTTGGCTCACTGCAACCTCTGCCTCCCAGCCTGGGGTACACTGGTGTGTTCTTGGCTCACTGCAACCTCTGCCTCCCAGGTTCAAGCAATTCTGCTGCCTCAGCCTCCCAAGTAGCTGGGACTGTAGGTGTGTACCATCACGCCCGGGACTGCAGGTGTGTATCATCACGCCCGGCTAATCTTTCTTTCTTTCTTTTTTTTTAGAGATAGGGTCTTGCTCTGTTACCCAGGCTGGAGACCTTGGCTTACTGAAAGCCTCAACCTCCTGGGTTCAAGCGATCCTCCAACCTCAACCTCCCAAGTAGCTGGGACTTCAGGTACACACCACCACACCTGGCTAACTTTTGTGTGTGTGTATATATATGTGTGTGTGTGTGTGTGTGTGTGTGTGTATATATATATATATATATTTTTTTAGAGAGATGGTTCTCATTTTGTTGTCCAGACAACAAAGAACTCCTGGGCTCAAGGGATCCTTCTGTCTTGGCCTCGCAAAGCCCTGGGATTACAAGTGCGAGTCACTGCACTTAGCCATTTCAGCATCCAATAAAAAGTGATACAAAAAATTATTTTCAGTGCGCCTGGTGGTAGAGGCAAACCCCTTAATACACATTACAAAAGATAGTTAAATAAACTGAATTATATCTTAATACAAGTGTTTCCTCTCTCTCACGCCCCAATCATCCAGATTTCTGTGACCAAATGTGGGGGTTCTTCCCCCAGCACACCACATATTGGACACCAGTTGGGTATCTTCTGATTTAATTCTGACATTACCTACCTGGAGATAGTGTCAGATCTGTATGTTGGGAATTCAATCCCTACGACTTCCCTCCTCACTTAGACACCAGTCGCAAGTCCAGGTCTTGATCGGCTTCAAGTTGGGGTTCCCACACCCTCCACTTTGGGTTTGCTTAATTTGCTACAGCAACTCACAAAACTCAGAGAAATACTGAGTTATCTTTGCACATTTATTATAAAGGATACTGCGGAGGATTCGGATGAAGAGATGGGTTAGCTGCAGGTACCTTCACCTGTTCAGCTATTAGGAGGCTCTCCAAACCCCATCCTCTTGGGTTTTTATGTAGGCTTCATCACGTAGGCACGATCGTACTTACTCCTAATTCAACTCTAAATTCTGCCAATTGTCCCAATTTCCTATCAATACGCTCTCAGTCTCTCCAGTCATCAGCTATACTATCAGTATCATCTTGGAGAATTCTCTCCTGGAATCTGCCCTGACTATTCTCTATTCCTAGCTTTTTGGGATCTCTCTTCATCATCATTCTGGAGATTTCCTTCTTGTCTAAATCTCCAGCTTTATTTCATATCTTCCTCTTTTTTGTTGGTGTTGTTTTTTAGTGACCACCCTTATATTTGTGAAGCCCAACCTCCAGAGCTTCCTGAAAAAGCGCAAGGAAGAAAAATATTGTTTTTCCATTCGGTTAGACTTTCTCATCCTTGATGTATAGCTCTGCTGGGTATCAAATTCTTGGTTAGAAGTGTGGGGGCCATAGGGTGTTGGCACCCTAAAGGTTTTCACTAAACAGTGAAAAATCACGCCCACCTCAGCCTCCTGAGTAGCTGGGATTACAGGCGTGCACTACCAGGTCCAGCTAATTTTTGTGTTTTTAGTAGAGAAGAGATTTCACCACGTTGGCCAGGCTGGTCTTGAACTCCTGGCCTCATGTAATTCACCAGCCTCAGCTTCCCAAAGCGCTGGGATTCCAGGCGTGGGCCACTGAGTCTGGCCTCCCTCTGCTTTTTTTATTTCTCCTTTTGGGACCCCTATTATTTGTCTCTAGAATCTTCTGACATGGTACGGTAAATTTCTCATTTTTTCTATTTTTCTGTATCTTCATCTTTTCGTACTATTTTCTCAAAGATTTACCTTAATTCTTAATTTTAAAACTTCTTCTTCTTCTTTTTTTTTTTTTTTTTTGCTATCAATCACCCGGTGCTTTGGGCGACCAAGGCAGGATGATGGCTTGAGGCCTGGAGTTTCAGACTAGCCTGGGCAACATAGTGAGACTCCCATCTCTACAAAAACAGTTTTAAAATTTGCCAGGCATGGTAGTGCATGCCTGTAATCTTAGCTACTCAGGAGGCTGAGGCAGGAGGATGGCTCGAGCCTAGGAGTTCGAGGCTGCAGTGAGCTATGATGGTGCCACTGCACGCCAGCCTGGGCTACAGATCAAGACCTTGTCTTAAAAAAAAAAAATAGAATAGGCATTAAAATGAATAAAGGCAAAGAATGTGGATGGGGCTTATATTGTAGGGTGATGTGAGGGTATTTCATTTGGAAACCTAGATGTATTTATTTATTTATTTTTTAGAGGTAGGGCCTCACTCTGTCACCCAGGCTGTAGTGCAGTGGCACAATACAGCCTCAAACTTCTGGGCTCAAGTGATCCTCCTGCCTCAGCCTCCAAAGTAGCTGGGACTGCAGGTGCACAACCCCATGCCTGGCTAATGTCTTTAATGTCTTTGTGCTAGTCAGACTTTCCATAGATGGATCTCCCAATTCCTGTCTTAAGGATTCTGTTGTTGGAGCCACTGTTATATACTCATATAAGAAAAGAAGAAGCAAAGTAGGCGAGGGTCCCAGTATCCAGTTTGCTGTACTCAATTAATCCTCATGTTTTCTGTATGTTCCCATGCTCAACTGTGTATTGTATCTTCTCAGTCTAGACACTCTTTGTTTTACCCTTTCCAGAGAATAAACCCCCAAAGTGTGGTGAGATGCACACACTCGGTTGCAAGAAGTTGAGAAAGGGATCTGGGAATTTGGCCTATTCTGAACCAGCATTTCAAGCAATCCTTCTTGTTTCAACCATACTCTCACACTTCATGGAGGTACCTGGTGCTGCTAATCCTGAGCATTTGGGGATTCTGTAATGCAAACTGGGCTGCTCAATGGCTTTCCTCATTGCTGGTTTAGAATTCAGCTTCGTTGAAGTTGCAAAATCCTTTCCCACTTGTCCGTTTGCCTTTCCAAAATTTTATTAATTTTGTCTCTCCTGTCCTGGCTATCCTAGTACTTTATGTCTTAAAAAAAAAAAATCCTGTTACTTTCAGGAGGCAACAAAAACAGACTAAAGTAGATATTGAACCATAGTTTAATATCCTATCTCTACTCCACACATTTGTATTTTCAAGTAATTTTCTGCAGCTTCTTTTTTTGCATGGGAAATGCACACTAAGGAAACTGATAAAAGACATGTACAATGTAAACTAACAATAAAATTCAAAGCCTCTCAACTGGCTGAAGGCACAGTTTCTTCCCTTTCCTTTCTTTTTTTTTTTTTTTTTTTGAGATGGAGTTTCACTCTCGTTGCCCAGGCTGGAGTGCAGCAGTGCGGTCTCGGCTCACCACACACTTTCTTGGCTAACGGGACCCCCAGAGTAACCTTGAAAACTGAGTTCTGGGCCAAGAGTAGATAGAATGTCAGATACAACTCTATATCTCCTCTCCTGCTAACCACAGTTAGGCTTTGTTTCCTAAGGGCTTAAGGGAAACCAGCCCTTTCAGAAGATTCTACTATTGATATCAACCAACCCCCTGATGCTGCCCCTCCTTTTGTGCCTGATAAGAAATCACAGACCACAGAATGGTTCTGGCCAGTCTACTGAGAATGCACAGTAAGGGTTTTTCTGTCCTCTGCTTCACCTTTTGATGTAAGAGGGCCAAAAACTCCATCCATCCTGTGATCATGGTAACACTGCCATTTTTTGCGCATGGTACCCATGAAGCTCAATTACACATGGGTACCTTTCCTTCTTTCATAAATATTCATGAGTCATCCTACAGCTTACTGAATATGTATATTTGGCCACCTTCCTCAGCATAAATTCCTGTTCCCTTTGCCCCTCCCTGGAAGTGTCAGTTTCTGGCTTCTGGCCTGAGGTTACACTTTTCAGCCTGTGAGAATGGCCACTCTACAGTCTGAAACCATTCATGAGAAAAAGATCTCCTTTCTAAATTAAGAACTTCTCATTCTTTAGCTGACAGACCATAACTGCAGATCCATCTGAATGTATGAGGAAAATGCCTGTTCTTTCAATGTCAACTTTGCAATATTAAGGACAATATAACACCATCATTCCAACATTCCCTTTAAATTATCAGTGAAACTAGTTTGGATTATACTAGCATGCCATTATTGGTGGGTCTAATTTAATGATTAATCTGTGAAATAGCAAACATTGCATAAAAGCATGTATTTCAGGAAAATTTCCCCTTTTGTTGCCAAATTTGGCCTCAGTATGGTTAGGATATAGGGAGGAGGCATTTCTCTCATTACTTGGGAACATGAATTCACTTCTTATCAAAGACTTGTTGACAAATGGCTTCTGCAAGACCCTGGTGGTATCAGGAGATGACTCTCAGAGTTTGCTGAGAAGTCAGTGGAAAATTTCTGATTTATATTGGGTATAGAAAAGCAAAATAATGTTACAGTTTTCTCATCTTCATTTTCATTCAGAAACTCTGGAACCTAAATTCAAGGCTTCATAAAGCAGTTCTCTACTTATAAGAGGAGCATAATCTTTATCATAGTGCCACAGCAGCTGGAGTAGCACAACTCTATTGCTTTCACACAAACTTGAACTGTCTAACAAAATCATGCACATAATTTAATCACGTCTTAGCTGTTTGTTTTTGAGACAGGGTTTCCCTCTATCCCCCAGGCTGGAGTGCAGTGGTATAATGACACTTCCATCTCCAACACTGGGGCTCAAGGAATCCTCCCACTTCAACCTCCTGAGTACCTGGGACTACAAGGGTGTACCACCATGCCTGGCTAATTTTTAAATATTTTGTAGAGACAGGGTCTTGCTATGTTATTCAGGCTGGTCTCAAACTCCTGGGCTCAACGTCTTAGCTGTTCTAACAATTTCTCAGCATGGACTCCACTTGTACACACCATTTCTAGAGAAATAAAGTTTATTGCTATAATAAAAAAAAGTGCACATTACAAGAATTAAGGAAGGGAAATTTCACAATAATTCGTGCCCACAAACAGTAAGTGTAGATGTGCTCCTTTGGTCATACAAGTCCTCAAGTTGTTCTAGTCTCCATTCTCACCTTTTCAAAAGCATCTGCTATAGTTTTGTTTTTAAATTTCATAAAATTGAAGAGAAACTTCCCTAAGGTGCACAAATCTTAAAAGAGTATGACTCGGTGAATTTTTTACATATGCATACACCTGTGTAACCCACCACAGAACAAGACAGAATGTTTACAGCACCCCAGTTTCCCACATCTCCAGGGAATCACTCACTATTTGGCAGTATTTCTCTTTTTCTAAAAATCATTAATACACCAGGCTGGGGCAAAAACCAAGAGTCCGATTCCATAAAAAAAAAATTTGAAAAATTAGCCAAGCGTGGTGCAGCGAGCCTGTAGTCCCAGTTACTGAGGAGGCTGGGGCGGGAGGATCAATTGAGCCCAGGAGTTTCAGGTTACAGTGAGCTATGATTGTCCAACTGCACACTAGCCTGGGCGACAGAGGGAGACCCTGTCTGTAAAAGAAAAAAGAAAAAAAAAAAAATTAAAACACACCAATGCTTTGGACACACTTTAAATATTGGACCTTGGATTCAGGTCATTTATTGTCCAATCTCGTTCTTCCCAGTTTCCACTTCAGCCCTGAACCCCACTTCACAGGCCTGATTGCTGGGTTGTCTACGCTTGTAAGAATTCCTGGGAGCCCTAGCACAAGCGCATACACTCCTAGCAAATCGTTCCGTTTCTCACCCGCACCCTCCGCCCCCTAGGGAGCCTACCTCGCTTACAGCGCGTTGCCAGCCTTTGCCTCCGCCACCGCCGACGTCCTCAGGAGCCAGTCCAGGTCCGCGCCAGCCTCCGCCACCTCTCTGCGCCCCGCCTCCGCCC